CGTGATCTACATTGTTTATTTTTCTGTGTGTTGTAGATGGAGATTCCACTGCTGCAGAGGTATTCACACTCATTTCACAATTCATATCTAGATAGATAGATGGATGGATGGATGGATGGATGGATAGATAGATACTCACCGGCCACTTTATTAGGTACACCTTACTAGAACCGGGTTGGACCCCTTCTGCCTTCAGAACTGCCTTAATCCTTTGTGGCACAGATTCAACAAGCTACTGGAAATATTTCTCAGAGATTTTGCTCCATATTGACATGATAGCATCACACAGTTGCTGCAGATTTGTTGGCTGCACATCCATGATGCCAATCTCCCCTTCCACCACATCTCAAAGCTGCTTATTGGATTGAGATCTGGTGACTGTGGAGGCCATTTGAGTACAGTGAACTCATTGTCATGTTCAAGAAACCAGTCTGAGATGATTCACGCTTTATGATATGGTGTTATCCTGCTGGAAGTAGCCATCAGATGATGTGTACACTGTGCTCATAAAGGGATGGACATGGTCAGCAGCAATACTCAGGTAGGCTGTGGCGTTGATGCTCAATTGGTACTAATGGACCCAAAGAAAATCTCCCTCACACCATTACACCACCACCAGCCTGAGCCATTGATACAAGGCAGGATGGATCCATGCTTTCATGTTGTTGATTCAGACTCGACCATCCAAATGTGGCAGCAGAAATGGAGACTCATCAGAGCAGCAGCGTTTCTCCAATCTTCTATTGTCCAGTTTTGGTGAGGCTGTGTGAATTGTAGCCTCAGTTTCCTGTTCTTAGCTGACAGGAGCGGCACCCGGCATGTTCTTCTGCTGTTGTAGCCCATCCGCCTCAAGGTTGGCCGTGTTGTGTGTTCAGAGATGCTCTTCTGCAGAGCTCAGTTGTAACGAGTGCTTATTTGAGTTACTGTTGCCTTCCTATCAGCTGGAACCAGTCTGGCCATTCTCATCTGACATCAACAAGGCATTTGCACCCACAGAACTGCCGCTCACTGGATATTTCCTCTTTTTCAGAGCATTCTCTGTAAACTCTAGAGATGGTTGTGCGTGAAAATCCCAGTAGATCAGCAGTTTCTGAAATATTTAAACCAGCCCTTCTGGCACTAACAACCATGCCACGTTCAAAGTCCCTTAAATCCCCTTTCTTCCCTATTCTGATGACCATGTCTACATGCCTAAACGCATTGAGTTGCTGCCATTTGATTGGCTGATTAGAAATTTTTCATTAGCGAGCAGCTGGACAGGTGTACCTAATAAAGACTTGACTGAATTAAAGGAGTCACTGAATAAATGTGCAGTTATTGACTGTGATTTCACTATTGACGTTTATTGTCATATGATTGGTCTGAATTAAAGATCTTGTATAATGGTGATGTTAATCTTATAGTTGATCTAGTGAATACTTGTATTTTCTGCACAGCGCATCAGCTGGGTTGTTTAGTAGGTTATGATTATGATAACATTGTTGACTGAATTTGTTTGCTGGTCATTTTTTCACAATACAGTCTATTATTAGTGAAGGGTCATGGAGAATGTGTGTGTGTGTGTGTGTGTCTGTGTGTGTGTCTTTGTCTGTGTCTGTGTGTGTCTGTGTGCGTGTGCGTGTGTGCAGGTTTATTGACAGACCGGAGCAGAAGATCTCGCTCGAGGACTTCCAGAACTTCCTCATTGAACAGCAGAAGGTTATTTATTTATTTATTTATTTATTTATTTATTTATTTATTTATTTATTTATTCATTCATTCCCGTGTCTCAGATTAACACCAGCAGCTGCTGTGTGTGTGTGTGTGTGTGTGTGTGTGTGTGTGTGTGTGTGTGTGTGTGTGTGTGTGTGTGTGTGTGTGCGCGCGCGCATGCATGTGTGTGTTTATTTCTGTGTTAATATGTTTGTGCGCGCGGGACTGTTCACTTGTGTTTTTGTTGTGTATTTGTGTGTCATTCATATTGATGTGTGTGTGTGTGTTTGTGTTCGCCCGTGTTTGTGTGTGCACATTTGTGTGTATATATGTTTCTGGGATTATGTGCGTGTGTGACTGTTCGCTTGTGTTTTTTTTGTATTTGTGTGCTTTTAATTGTGTGTGTGTGTGTGTGTGTGTGTGTGTGTGTGTTTCTGTTATTGTGTTTTCATTTGTCTGTTTTGTTATGTCGATGTGTACGCTAGTGTTTGTTTGTGTGTGCTAATTTGTGTTTGTTTTTGTATTCTAATGTGTGTGTGTGTGTGTGTGTGTGCGCATGTTTGTGTTTGTGTCCTTGTGCGCTAGTGTGTGTATGCTAAAGTGTGTGTGCACTAGTGTTTGTTTGTTTGTGTGGGCAAATATATTTGTGTATGTATGTATGTGTTTGTGTGTTTGTATGTGTGTGTTTGTGTTTGTGTACTTGTGCGCTAGTGTGTGTGCACTAATATGTGTGCGCTATCATGTGTATGCTAAAGTGTGTGTGCGCTAGTGTTTGCTTGTTTGTGTGTGTGCAAATATATTTGTGTGTGTGTGTGTGTGTGTGTGTGTGTGTTTGTGTCCTTGTGCGCTAGTGTGTGTGCACACTAATATGTGTGCGCAAGTGTGTGTATGCTAAAGTGTGTGTGCGCTAGTGTTTGCTTGTTTGTGTGTGTGCGCAAATATATTTGTGTGTGTTTGTGTCCTTGTGCGCTAGTGTGTGTGCACACTAATATGTGTGCGCAAGTGTGTGTATGCTAAAGTGTGTGTGCGCTAGTGTTTGCTTGTTTGTGTGTGTGCGCAAATATATTTGTGTGTGTTTGTGTCCTTGTGCGCTAGTGTGTGTGTGCACTAATATGTGTGCGCAAGTGTGTGTATGCTAAAGTGTGTGTGCGCTAGTGTTTGCTTGTTTGTGTGTGTGCGCAAATATATTTGTGTGTGTTTGTGTCCTTGTGCGCTAGTGTGTGTGTGCACACTAATATGTTTGCGCTAGCATGTGTATGCTAAAATGTGTGCGCTAGTGTTTGCTTGTTTGTGTGTGTGCATATATATTTGTGTGTGTGTGTGTGTGTTTGTGTCCTTGTGCGCTAGTGTGTGTGCACACTAATATGTTTGCGCTAGCATGTGTATGCTAAAATGTGTGCGCTAGTGTTTGCTT